ATTAGTTTTCTCTATTTATTAGAAAACTAATTAAATGTAATTGAAATTTTATTTTTTAATCCCTCTTATTAATAAAATATCTTCATTACAATTGATGCTACTGATGTGATTAAATTACTTAAGTTAAGCAGTAACGTGTGACGGTGAAATTAAAATACTAACGTCGGGATCGCAGTTAACCATGTCTTGCGTGAGAGGCGAATCCATCGGGCCAGTATAGACGTGCTGTACTTTAGTAGGTGCGTGTGCTTGCGGGCTTGGTACATGAGTGACACACATATCCACTAATCCGCACATATCTCCTAAGAATCTCGTGCAGACAAGTCTCAGCAATGGTCGTATATTCATTTTCATCTCCTCGGATGTCAATCGTATTCCGAGTTCGTCCAAAACTGTGAACGAAACGTGTGTAATAATTATCTGTCCAAGTAACGAGTTATAACAAATAAGAAAAAGGAAGAATGGGATTTACCATCGGGTAATGTTGTGTCTACATCACCGACGACTTGCGCGAATATCTTATACAGAGGTTCCAGGATAAATTCAATAAAACTTCGCTGCGCAGTATTATGCGGCGGTTTCTTAGTAAACTTCCGTGTTTTAGGGTTGAAATAAATATCACCCCAGAGTCGTTTGGCGAATTCGTTGGCATTAAGTCCAGGATAGTTCCTAGTGTAGAGCGCGGCAAATGATTTCAAAGTGAAGCACACATTATATTCGGAACTAGCGAAACAAACATTTCCTACGGCAGGCGAAACAAAGCCAGGGTTCTCGGTATCCGAAGAGTACAATGCTATTAGCCCGTTGATCTCCTCAATAATATGTCGTAATTTGTAGTAAGCGTCCAAGGGTGGTAGTTTCAACTCCAATACCAAACGATCAATCTTATTTATGCAAACTGTCAAAGCGAGTTTTTCCTGAATCGCGTGCTTCAGCAGACGTTCGGTGTTCAGCATCACGCCCTCCGCCGCGTCAACGATCAATATCGCGCCGTCCGACAATCGGATCGCAGCTGTCGCTTCGTCAGAGAAATTCACGTGGCCCGGTGTATCAAATATATTTAAAAGATATGATTTAGATTTAACATCTTGCAGCAAGAGAGTAACGGGAGTAGCTTTCGTGGAGACGCCTCTTTGTTGCTCGGTAAATAATGTATCTGTGTATCTGATAACATATAAATAAAAATTACATTTTGTTTTTACGATTGGTTTAATAAGTAAAAGTTGGACCGTTTCTAGAGCGATACCTCAATGGTTTCTCATCGGTTGTGCTGTGTATATAAGGATGCGTTTGTTGTACCAAGCAATCGACTAAGGTAGTTTTGCCATGATGAAGATGTCCCAGCAAAACTACATTTCTAATAAGATGCGGCGCATCCATCATATCTGCTAAAAATTCAATGCTATACGTCGTTTCAGGCAACTGTTGCTGTTTTATTTGAAACTTTGCTTTTCTAGTAGGTGCTATTAGTGGTTTATCTAACGGTTGGGCATCTTCTTCTTGCACAAGCGTTTCTACCTAAAAGTATTTACATAAAAAAATATATATCTAAAGAGCTTGAGAGAGAATAAAACAATTTATTGTACTCTTGAAAATAGTAAAACAAGAGAACACAGAAATATTTATATTTTAATTGGTACCATAAAACAGAAATGTGAATATATATTGTAACAATAAGTTATATCAACATTTCATAGTTTTAAATTATAAAAATTTATATTAATCAATAGCTTGTTATACCTCAGGTCCATACACCTCTAGGGCACTGGGATAATATCGCTTATCTTCGTGCAATACAACCGCCATAGAAGAGCCTTGGTCCACTTGCTCTCGTGACTCATCCTTGTCTTCTTCCATTTCTTCATCCGATCGTTCTCTATCCTCGGTGTCATCGCCAACATTGCTATATTCATTTTCATCCTCGCTCTCCGACGCCAGATCAGGACCAATATAATTTCCAAACTCATCGTATAAATCCGTGTCCATTTTGATGATTTAAAATTTGGTTTTCAATATTTAAAGAAATAATATTTCCTGCAAAATGTTTAATTTAAACTTTCCAAATTTATTTCTTCGTCGTTTTAATTTTTTAATTTTTATATAAATTCTATTAAACACATTTTCTTACATGGAATGTAACCTAACCTAACTTAAAATTATGTTATACTTGATGTATGTGCACACTCGCAACTCACGATGTACACATTTGTTCATTAAACGTGTCACTATATTTTTTATCACTATTATTAATATACAATCATATATAAGATGATTAATTTACTGAATTATACGCGTTTCACCCGGCATAACCTACAAGCATACGATTAAACAAGTACACATTTTAAAACATTCTGAAATCAGTAAAATTTGATTCACACAAATGGCCAACTAAAAGGTTATAATCTTGAAAAAAGTACTAAAAGTAACTAAAATTAATACATTACGTTTTATTAATGTTTAATGCATCAATTATATTTTTAATATCACGATATCATAATTAAAGTACATATTTAGATATTTAAAGTAATATTTTGAGTGTTTTTGAATACCCGGAAATTGAAAATATGTCCAAATCGCTGGTTGGACAAATGTCGGTAAAGTTGGTATTGCCTCGTCGCAGCGACTCGCGATCGCGACAGTCGCGACACACTGCAGAGTGCAGACTACACTGACTTCAGAGTGCAGCCCGCAGCCCCCAGCGCGCTTCACGTCAATGACGCACGACCGGCACGACGCACGACGTGAAGTGAGCTGTGTGCGCTGTGTGGTGTGCCGTGAATACTTGACGGTCGTGACGCGTGAGTGCGAAAGTGTATGTGTGCATATATAATTTCGCTACACACTACACACTTTTGCATATGCACGCGCATGACATACGCGCGCGCGCGAGCGCGTGGCTATATTTGCGCACGGTACTCGGGTCGGGACTCTCGGGAGTCGGGGGAGTCGGGTACTTGCGGACTGACAGCTGCCAGCACGACTAGCACGAGTAGTAGGAGCAAGCAGAAGTGGCGGATCATGTAAGGTGAGCAAAGGTGAGTTTCGTTATGGTAATTCAACGTTGCGTGAAACAATTAATCGCATCTCATCGCATCTCTCACCGTTGCGCGTGAACCGTGAACTGTGAATCGCCACAAAACTTGTAAGCGTCTGTTGTCTGTTGACGAGGACACAAGTTCGCGAGATTGGCACACTCGTTACGCCGACGATGCCGCGTTTTGTCGTTCTCCACTTTTACGCGTAAATAACCGCGTTAGCGTATTCCTTACAATATTGGATATTTTTGTGCATTTTTGGGTTTACGTTCACATTCTCGCAGGTCAGGTTCCCTAAAAGCTTTGGTCGTTACAGGATCTTCCGTGTCGAACGAGACACAACTCGCCAACCTACGAGCGATTGCACTGCCAAAGAGACACGTTAGAAGAGTTGACAGGATAGGTAGACGCAGGAGCGGACGGAAAAGGAGTAGACGATCGAGAGGCGGAATGACACGTCCTCCAAACAATGAAAACCTTATGACCTTTAAACTGGTCGTAGTTGGAGATGGAGGTGTCGGCAAGAGCGCACTCACAATACAGTATTTTCAGAAACTGTTTGTCGCAGACTACGATCCAACTATTGAGGATAGTTATATTCAACACGCGGAGGTAGACAAACAGTGGTGTATCTTGGATGGTAAATGCTTTTATATCTCTGCTACAGATACTTGATTGTTTTCTTTATCGTCAGTGTATTATATATATTAAATTATTTTTATATTTCTTCAAAATTATATCATTACCAAATAAAAAATGTTTAACAACTAGAAACTTATGTAATATAATGAAGGAGGCATGTTGATGCATTGTCAGAAATATGGAACGTTAAAATGACTTTTCTAACTACGAATGAATATTTATGTGTTATTGCAGTGTTAGATACAGCTGGTCAGGAAGAATTTAGTGCTATGCGTGAACAATATATGCGGAAAGGTGATGGATTTCTTTTGGTATATTCTGTGACTGATAAACAATCGTATCAAAACATCGTCAATTTTCATACTCAAATTTTACGAGTGAAAGATAGAGATGTTTATCCTATGTTATTGGTGGCTAACAAAGTCGATCTGGTGCATTTGAGAAAAGTCACGGAGGAACAGGGAAGAGAATTGGCTCAGCGTTTGGGCATACCTTATATTGAAACTTCTGCCAAAGATCCACCACTGAATGTAGACGCGGCGTTTCACGAGGTAAATATAATAAAAGAGACGATTATTAAATTATTTCCGTTTATGTGTTATTTCGTTTATGTTGTATAAATATTTACAATATATTTATTATTTAAGGTTGTTCGCATTATCAGAAATCAACCTCCGGCCGAATTGGAGAAAAATCAAAAAAAGCGACGACGTTCGAAAAAGTGTAACATTTTATAAGTTTTCAAGAGAAACTACGCACATGCGCAAGAAGACCAAAAACCATGGTGCTGTATCGTAATCGTGCAATGCCTTTGCTTCTGGAAAAGTACGTCCTTGTTTAGAAAATTCATCAGAGAGAATAATTTTTCTTCAAGTATTCTATAGGTATCTATGACTTTTTTGTTCTTTATTATATCATAGCATTAATGAGTGCTATGAAGTATCTTTTCTTTTATACCTTGTGGATATAATATTTATGGAGAGTAGATATATCAGAAAGTGTGCCAATGAAAAACAAGAAGGCTCTGACGCCAATGCTACGCAAATTAAATTAGAAGATTTTTTAAATCTAATTTAGGATTCATTTATCACAATATTTGTGGCAAAAAGTAAGCATTGGAAACATTGACTGTCCATTCTCTGCATGATAAAATGAGACCACATCTGTATCCATGTGTGCGTGTACACATCAAATTTTCTACCATTGAAAAGAATATATATATATGAAATTGAGCGTTTTTTATTGCACAAAACATAATATTACAAGTTTTTTACTTCTTCGGATATAAGAGAAATCCTTGTCATAAAATGACTACAATTATTTCGTCGATATCGAGCTCACTTTTCAAATAGCTGTTATAGCTTTAAGTGGCTTTATTAATTACGATATTGTTTTCCTACAAAAATTATTTCTATTTTTTGCTACATATATATTTTTATATATATATAGAGCAATGTTGAGACTGATTTTGATTGTTTAAATTGACAGAGATATTTAATTTGAAGGATGGCATTATTATACTAATTACATTTATTATTACAACAAGTATGTATCTTATATTTATAATTGTTTGTTATCATCAATTATTAATATTGATAGAATAATTTAGATGTCAAATAATTAATTATGGTGCCACTTAATGAATCTAAGAATTCTTGTTGTATTTATGCGCCAAGAATGTTTGAATATTATTTTTAATTCTTTCACATTGCTCATAGCATAATACATGTATTAGGTGCGTTTAATGTTGAATTCTATTTATAATTGACTATAATCGTTTGAGTGACTTATTATTTTTTGATACATTTTTAAATAAATTCACGCTTTATATTTCTTTATATGTTCACGTATATCAGATTTTTTTATATATATACTAAAAGAATAATGCCATGGCCTATATTAGTGTTTAAATGTAAAAGAGAATCTATATTAGTTTATACATTTAAGAAAGCACCTTTACATGTGTGCGCGTTTGTATAAGCTAAAAAATTGATGTTATATGTTGAAATGACACTCGATATAGATTATCTATTTATCAAGCTTGTGAAAAATTTCGACACTACGGTCTTTTACACTTGTCTCTTATACACAGGTCGCGCATGTATAATCTAATCTAACTTATAATTGCGAAGAGGCTAAGAGACTTCGCGTGATCATATTTTTTACACACGCATATCTTTGCACATAAACTACGATACTTTCTCTTGTGTTGCGATATAATCGAATTCGCACGCTATGATTTCGATGTAAAATTATAAACTTTCTACTCATTTTATCTATGTATAACGCTATATAAACGCTTCTCTTATGGATGGACATGCTATATTTGACATGCTACATCAGCATGATACATTATTATGATTATATACTATACACGCAAGATCATAGCACGTAAGAATTCTGCTATTATGCAAAATCTCATTATATTCGCACATGTAACTTAATTGATATGTCACATAGTTTTTGGGTATTGGTATTACGTACTCTATAAATTTCTATTGTTGCTATTAACTATCGCAATCTGCGAAAGTGCCATAAAAAATGACATCACGTATCGACATTGATTTTATCGCACAACACTGTTTTTCATCGTATAATAATTTTATTCAGAGAACATAAAAAATACTGTTTGAAACGATCAGAGGATTACTTTGGCAATTACCTGGCAGGTATCTGACAAACTTTTTTTTATAGATTTAAGTAGTACAAAAGTACATATTAAATATGTACTTTTTTAGTTTTTTTATAATGTTCAAAAAGTTAGCCGAAAAAGTGTTTCCTTAATTACTTTGAACATTGTAGTATTTACGTTTAATTATAAATGTAAAAATATATCGCTTAATTGTCCATACTGATAAACGCTCTGTTTAAAACTATTTGAGTCTGAGCGTAAAAGCACGAAAAAATATATGCAGGATAGCTCAATTTTAAATGCCGTAATTTAATTTCACCGATATTATTAATCGTAGAAAAAAATTGACACAAAATTTATAATAAAGCACCTCATTTTTTTTCAAAATTCTAAATCTTTACTCGAAATATCTTTTGTTAAATTCATAATGTCGGTGAAACATAATAATGCGTTATTTAAAAATCAAGCCGTCTTTGTAACAGACTTATAAGTGTGTATTTATTTATATTAAGTATATATGTAATATGTGTATATTTAAGATTAAAAACAGGGCATCTTATCGCGAATGTATGCATCTCCTAGTAATATATCATTTTAAAGCTAAAGTAAAAAAGGAAGAACTTGTAACCCTCAAACTTTTACAGCCCTGTTGTGCGAAACATGATATATTTTATGATATCTGAACTATGCACAAAAACTCATTTTTATTATGACCGTGAGGATATTTCGATCGTTATTCTTGCAACGGTTGTCAAACTAAAGGCGTTTAATCAGTATATCGGATGAAGTTACAAGAGGTCGAGGTTGCGCCATACTCGCGCGTGTCTCGTTTGAAATTTTAGATACTCAAGCTTTTTAGCGTTCCTCGGATACTCGGATACTCACGTGTCATATGATCTGTAATAAAGCTACGTCATTTTATATCGCCGTCCATGGAGGAGGCATAAAGGCAAGGAACGTGCAGGGTCGTGTCCAAGCGTGGGCGGATGAGGCCCACTTACGCACGTGAGCGAGGCCAAAAATGGAAATTTGAAAGCGCGATACAGGGCATCTTTATAACAATAGAAACGCGATTCGAGTATACTTGAGCATACATATAGATAGTGTATATACATATAGATATAATAAATGATAAAAAGGGGTTTATGTAAACTGTAATTAAGGCGTCAGGCTGTTATTTGCCGATAAGTCGAATAGTACAGCTACAAAATGCAAAATTGTTTTAGCGATTATGTATAATATCTATTTTATATGGAAATTATATATAATATATCTATTTTATATGCTTTACGTTACGCTATACATACTTTAAAACGTTATTTTAGCCGATAAACTTATTTATTTTACGAATCTGTAATTTAATTAATCTGTCAAGTAAAATATGCATTAACTGATAATCAATCGAAAAAAGCTAATAGCAAAAATTCTTGTAAGAAAATATTTCTGTCGAAACGGAAGTATTCCTATATATCTCGCAGTTTATGTTTATCACGCTTCATAAACGATTCTATTTATTGTTTTATTTTACATATGTAATATTATTGTTAGAAAATTTTGATTTATTATCACTTAAAAATGAAGGACAGTTGCGGCAGTTGAGAGATTGAAGTTAGAGAAACGTTCGCGAAATATACACATATAGTGCACATTTAACCAATAATCATTCGCGTCGCGAAATAACAAAAGAAAAAAGAGTCACATTCAGGGTGAGAAATCGATAATATGTTCACAACACGCTTCTAGAAGTTAAAGAAAATTATCTATGAAATAGTCAATATATTGAACCATTGTGATATTGAAAATACGAAAAAGATTCTAGTGAATGTATGCAGAAGGTTGTGAGAGTCGTCATCGAAAGGCCAGCCGTGAGGACGACGGCTGATTTCTCATTTCGATAATATTTATAGGGACATTATTTCTTAAGAGTTCATCTTTGTCGTTCGCCAAATCTACTACTAACATTCGTCGCGTCTGCACAAATAGTAAAGTATCATTATTGTGTAAATTCTTGCAGAAGGAAATTATAGAATAATGTACACGAGAACGATGATACATGTAGTAAGAAAAAGAAAGAGAGAGCGAGAGCAAGAGAGAGAGAGAGTGTAATTAATATTAAACGTGAGCAGTGTGATTTTGCAACATACCGTTCTTGTTATATATTTATACATATAACAAGAGAAAGAGAGAGGTACGAGAATTTATATATTTTGAAAAAATGAACAAAACGAGAATTTTCTCTCGATTTCGCTCTGCGAATATATACTTACACATATATACTTGTGTACTGCGAAAAATATGTGAAAATGTATATCCTGTTATACATTATATTATATGTTACATATGTATGATTTTTCGTATAAAATATAATATATGTATATATTATAAGCGCATATGCGTGTGTGCAGGCATACATATACGCATATGTATACGCATGTGAATGCGTGCAACTATTTTTTTGTTGATGCGTGTGTGCGAGTGTTTGTTCGTACGTGTTTGCGCATAAGCGTGTCACTAACCATGCCAGTCTGTATGTATGACGTACATTGGATATTAAATTATAACTCGTGTTTACAACAATGTTTCCCTTACTATGTATTTTATTCTATTTTAAGCTGCATGACCGAGTAAAGAGCGCGATTGAACCTGCTTCAGTGAGCGTGAATGGTGTCGCGAGTACAAACGAGTAATATAATACATATACATCGACGAATACGTTCCAACTCTTTTTAATATGTATAAAAAAAAAAGTTGGTTACCCTCGTTCATGCTCGTTGTAAATGTTTGTTCGTGATCGTTTATCCTTGCTGATCTGAGTATATATCCTTATGCGCAGTCTTGCGAAATTTGTCTTGGTGTCGGTAAAGGTAAAGTAAAAGTAAAGTAAACTTCACGTATCAACTTGTCAGAAACTGGGAAGAACTAAAATTTATAAAGAATAACTTGACTAGAAAAAGATTTATGCGCCAATAAATTTAGAAACATCTCTCGCGGATCTTTCGTGAAATACAGTAGCTCTTGTGCAATTTCACACACAATATTATTTTATTTTGTCACGCGTAAATTTATAATAATTATTGGCATATCTTTTACGGATTAATAAAAAACATTCCAAAGTATATTGTAATTTATAATATTAAAATGTAGTTCAGATAGTAACTTGTAAGAATCTAGTGGGTGTATCACGGATATATTTTTTTAGGAATTTTCCAAAAGGAACGTGCAGCCGGTTCTTGGGGAGCTTGGCAGGTCTATATAGAAGATAAGTAAGCAGGTAAATAAGTAAGTGCACTCGACGAACACTGGGTCTTTCGACCCAATAGCAGAATATGCGAAATAAATGAAGGAAAAGAAGATATGTCCAAGTATTTTATTTTAATAAAAGAGAGAAAAATAAGATGACAATAGCTGTATTTATATCCTAAAACGCTTTCTTCTGTAAAAATAAAAAAACCAATACTTGGTTGTCAACGACTTAAAACTTAAAATATATTGATAATTCTTTTAGAGGTTTGACATTTTAGTTGTATAAATTTTGCAGAAAAGGCTGTCATAGCTTTTTTCTTTTTCTCGAATAAGTAGTGAAAGTTTTGAACTCGAGTGAACATTATTGAGAAGTTGATTTTGCAAAATATCGTCTGTTTCTTTGAAAAAGACAATATTTTTGTAGAAGAATTTAAAGAATCATAAGTTACAACTTAAAATAAAACGTAGAATACACACACGTTAAAGTGCATATTATATTTTGACACAATGTTTCATAACTTTAGTAATAATAGTCGAGCTTATAAAGAAAAGTAAAACCCATATTTATAATCGCATTTCTATATATAATATTGAAGAACCCAACTGAAATCAGTGTAAAGATACAATATAAAAATATAGTCGATTGGCCTATTTATAATTTTATACAGTATATTTGATATCATTTTCCCGAATCCCGGTGATTTATTTTTAAAATAAATATAATAATTTATTCACCTCATAGTTGTTCAGTCGTCGTTTGATGCCTGTCAAACTTCCACCTCCTCGATAAAATTGTACAACACAAACACTCGCAAAAACTAAAACGATCGCCTGCAATTTGCACGGCACTTGGAATACTAACCGCACGCGACCTTAATTATTTTATCGCGTCGAAACACGATTATAGAAATTATGCGAAAAAGATCCGACATTCTGTGATTCGTTTTATGATATCCACGAATATCGCAAATTAGCGTGATAAACAAAATCTCAAATAGTAGAGGTTTTTACGATTCGCATAACGTATAACGTTTATATTGTAAACTGTTTAATATGAAAGAATTAAGATTATTTAACATATTTTTTCTCGTTGATCTCAAACTTGTGTTTAGAAAAAGAATCTCCTCAGAAAGCGCACGACGCGACGCCATGAAACCGCATACATCATATATGATTGACCGTTATAATGTAAATCGAGCCATTATGATATTCTGTACTTAGCATTCGAATCGTTACAGCTATATATACACATACGATAGCACATCGATATATTACGCAAATTTCAATGCGTTTCGATTAGATGGAGAGTATCTGGGAAACTTGAAGCAAACTACATCTTAAAATCGCTTTCCGATCGATCCCCGATATTTTATTGCCTTGTACGATATATATTTTGGATTCTGTTAAGTAACCCACGCAATTATACAATTCATTTAGTACAATAATGTATACAACAGCAATTATTATACAATTACAAACGCGATTTATAATAATTATAATAATTAAATTCTGTGCTATTTAGAATCGTGACGCCTACAGCCGTGTGAAAATTCAAGCGCGACCAGCACCCGCTTAGAGTGCTGATCGCTTGATAAATACCACTCGACCATGATACGAGCAGCAAGCGTTGCGGTGCATGCGTACCTATCCAATTGGCCAATAAACGCCGCTGCGCCATTAGAGAAAAGCACCCCGCTAAGTTTAGAGTACCGAGCACATGACCGTTTTCGAGGGTCACGTGCGAGGGTAACGGGTAACTGCGAATGTCATTGCCGTCGCAGATAGTCACGGCAAAGCTCCATCGATACGCAAAATTGCCCAGTGTTTTCTATTCAGAAACGCAAGTCGACGCAGAGTAAACAAAAGTCGATTTTTAGCCTCTCTCTCTCTCTCTTTCTCTTTCATCTCTCTTATGTCTGCATTCTATTTAATTTATGTCACTATATATTCTCTTTCGATCGAATTTCGTTAACTATTTGTAAGCTGATTCGCGACAATCGCGACGGTGCGGAAGTAATCGTAAATAAGTTAAAAACAAAAACATTTGCAAAAACTCTGTTTTTCTCTTTTCCCGATATATGTGTATATATTAAGAACAAAGTTATTTATATCGATTGTTGCTGTAAATTCTAAGCTCTTTATGACACGTTAAATCCCTAGCTGGTATCACTCGGTCCTGCAAACTGCTTGTGCCAGTTCAAATATGTCTAGTCCCTTATACCTGCACTCGTTCTCGAGTAGAGATGTGTACCTTCGTGCTTAGCTTTGCTGAATGTGATGTGATAATGTGATGAGAAATGGAGATTAAATAGAAGCGGTCTATGCAACCGCTAGTACCAGCTTTCCACAGGCACAAGGAAGAGAGGAGTTAAACGTATGATACCAATTATAAGGAATAGTTTCGTCATGTTTAATTAATAATTTAATTAATATTTTGTGAAAGGATAAGAGAAAACAAACTTGGGATGACGAGCGAAAGATGCCGAGATATAAAAAAGATAATAGAAGTTTAAAGAATAATAAATGTTATGGCCCATCAATAAACGAGAATAAATATATGTCAAATATACATATTGAAATATTTTCTTCCCGTTTTGTCGCAAATATGTTTTTATAAAATAGATTGATAAAAATATGGTAGTTTTCTCTAGCACGTATGATTCATATAAATAAACACGAGAATAGAAATTATAAAAGATGTAGAGATTGATGTCACTGTCACGAAGAATCATCTTTTTCATTTAAATCCTCTTTTTTGGCAGGTGACGTTAACTGATTGTGAGGTTAAATGTCGTCCTGAATGACACCTGACGATTATTTTACTATCTTCCAAATCTGAAAGCAGATTCGTGTCAGGAGAAACGCTTTTAGAAATACGGAATCCTTAAAATATTGATCGTGAAAGCATTCCGGACGTTCATTGTGGTATTGGTTATAATTCGCATGCGCATGTTTAAAATTATATGTAAATCGAGATAACTTTAACGACGAGTCAATCGCGATGTGAGCGAGATGCGACAAATGCGGAAAATTGTTTCACGTCGTTAGAACAATAATGTCGTCCCGCATCCACGTGTCTCTCTTCGCGTCGTATCTTGATTTCTCTCTAGTCAACTCGACACATATCGCGTCGACGAGATATCAAGATGGAATATCGGAAAAATATGTCCAACTTGACGTATTGCGTTTCCGACAATTATTATTCCATTTTTATTTCCGCGTGTCTCTCGGGCACGTTGTGCGCATTTGCATAAAAAAGGGCAAAAAGTGGGTCACTACCACACAGTGAATTAAAGAGAGAGAGAGAGAGAGAGAGAGGGGGGGGTGGGGATGGGGAGTGAGACTCGCAACCGCGTTGTCCGTTGGGGAAATGCCTTAACAAAAAGTCTAATACTTACTCTCTCCTTTTCTCTCTGTAAGCGCGGGCGTTCCGTATCGCGTCACCGTTCATAGAAGTCTTTCTTAACAATGGCCGAGATTGTCGGCATACAGCGTTAGTGATGCCTCATCGTGATATCAAGCGCGATAAAAGTTTTCATCTCTCGGGTAGCCGAAAGAATGCGGTGGATTTAAACGCGGCGGGTTTCATCGTCTTGATTTTATTCCGACATTACGTGTGCTTATACCAGAAACGTTATCTGCAGGTGCGCCATATTTCACGGTTTTATATCAACGAGCGGGTTTTATCGTTTTATGCGTTTTCATTAATAATCAAGGAATACCGAAACAGATTATAGAACATTCTTCACAATCTCGTATTAATTTTGCGAAACAACGTTCAGGAATAAAATACAAACTGTAGCTCGCATATAATTATATAATATTCTTTCTTTTTATATATTTTTATGTGTATAAATGTAATATATATATAGATATACACATTTTTTGTTTGATTTTAAATATAAGAATTAAAAGAAACGCAAAATGCATGAGAATAGATGGAAAAAATGTGGTCCCTGCGACGTTTCAGTTGAAAAAGATAAAGAGATAAATTCTTTTGAATCAAACTGTCATATATTTATCAAAATATCGAAATCTTTCGTCCCGACATCTAGATAATTTATCGTTGTTTTCCCTGCTTTAGTATCTTAAAATAGTTTAGCAATTATATAAATCATATAATTATGAAGAAAAGTATCGAGATTCTTCACATATCGACAAAGATAGGGAGAGAGAGAGAGAGTATATCGGTATTTCTATTAATATTTATGTCGATATAAGGTGTGCGTGTGTGTGTGTGCGTCGATCTGACGGCGGCGGGGCTCGACGCGGGCTGTCACCGACGAAGCGTGGTTTAACAACGCGTTCGCGGCTCGTAGCCACGATCCGTTTTTTATTTTAATTCGCATGGGTCGCGCGCACACATATGTATGTATGTACATACGTATGTACGCGTAGATACATTCATGCCATAAAACACAGATTCTCAAACGTCGCGCCGCGCGCCGGCCGGCTGGCTAGCTGGACGCTCGACGGACGGTTGGCCGCCGCCGAGCCGCCGCCGCGCGCCGTAGCGCCGCCGCGTCGGAGAAGTATGAAATTCGGCGTGCGCGCGCAGTCAGTCTGGCCAGAGTGGCCAGTTACACGGTAGTCGGCACAGTTCGGAGCTCGGAGCACGCTTGCTCCGCGCTCCACTCTCTTCCTCGCCGTTTTCCCTCCCCGTGGCCCGTGCTCGCTTCGGTCATCCCTTCTCCTCTCTTTCGCCCGCGCCGCGCCGCGCCGCGTCGCTCCGTGTCGAAGCCGAAGCAGGAGGCAGGAGGCAGGAGGCAGGAGGCAGGAGCAGAGTCGGTCAATACTCCGGGCAACGCGGCGGTGAGAGCACGACGGTCGCGTACGCACGCCGCTCGCGCTCCACGTCGTCGAGGGACGTCGTTTCCTTCGCCTCGCGTTTTCTCTCTCTCTCTCTCTCACTCTCTCTATCTCTTTTTGTCTCTGTCCCTTACGCTTTCGTCTGGCGCGCGCGCGCGTAATCTCGCCAAGTACGCGCCGATCGTCTCGTCGTCTCGGTCGTCGTAGCGTTTGTCTGTCCCACTCCGGAGTCCGGCGCGCATCGCGGGCGCCGGCACTGGCGGCACCGCGGCACTGTGCATCAACGTCTCGCCTCTCCGTATCCTCATCCTCGCACGCGTAGAGATACTCCGTACCCAACGGACGACACATTCGACGTAACGCGTACGTACGTATACCCGCACATATACGTACGTGCCCACGCGGCCACCGCGGACGGCGGACGGCGGACGAACGAGAGTGCGTACGCCGCGTAATTCGTATATATATTCACGCACGCGTAAGACGCGCGCGTCGCGCGTCGTGGGTGCGTGCGAGGACTGCGAGGAGGCGGCGCGCGCGACCATCGACAGCGTCCTCGTCGTTCGTCTCGTTCGTCTCGTTCGTTCGAGAACGTTATTGCGAGAAATCGCGTCATATCGTAACGTGCGAGTATACCATGTGAAACAGGAACATTGGAGCGCACAGGCAGGACAGATCTCACAGATCCGGATCCCGAGACACGAAACTCGAGACACGAGTGAAGTTGGGTGAGAGACGACTCGCGCGCGCGCCCGCGCTCGCGCGCCCGTCGTTCTGAGGATTTTTCAGTGATTCGCGCGCCTTACTGCACAGTGCACGGCACTTGCGCCACTTATACTGCGCGAATCGGTTGGGGTGTCGTGTCGCGTCGCGTCGCGTCTTCGCCGCGGAATCGGAAGAGGAAGGAGTGTAATTCCGAGTGTCAAGATCAGCGATGCATCTCGCCGCGTGATGGACAGGCGAGCCTTCCCAGCCAGCGGCGGCCGTGGCAGCGGCAGCGGCTTCTTCTCGACCGGCAGACTCATGGATACGTGGATAATCTTCCTGTTCGTCGCCATTGCCGGTAAGTCTTGCACACCCTAGCTTGACTAGCTTCTCGCCATTCCGTTTCGTATTACTTGTATGTACGTCGCGTTTCTGCCCACGGAGAGAGAGAGAGAGAGAGAGAGAACGGGATTTTCTCTCTCTCCCTCTCTCTCTCTCTCTCTCGTCTTTTATGTACAAGACTGCCGAAAACTCCTTGTCATTTAAACGTCGTTTTACGATCTCCTGACATTATTCTGGTGTATCTATTTTTTGAATAATAGTATGACGTAGGAGCTTAATACGCGGGATTTTTGTAAGTATAATATAGCTTCGATTCATTGTCAGCTTTTATTTTCGAACGCTATGCACGTGTCTCCGTAGACTGTATCGCAGAGTTAGAGCAGTTTACGTGACCTAATATCAAGTACGTTGTTTACGTTTACACATAATAAAACACGTCGTCACTGATATGATTATACTTATAACGTTCGCGGATTGTAAATCTTTTAGAGACCATCTTTTGTGAGTTAATTCCGCTTGGCCGTTTACTCTCGCGAATTACAAATCAGCTTGTTCTGATTAGATCAAAACCCATCTAGTGACACATTTATCAAAACTTATTGTTAGATTTTATATAGTTTTCCATCTAAAAATGAACTTTTGATCGTAGCCACGTTTCAACACGTTGATTCTCGCGCTTTGCAATCTTGTTTGAGAATCAATCTACTAATCATAGACTTCATAGGAGTATAATCATGCTCTATACATTAAAGTAAGAAAAGAATCAATTAAAATACGAAAAAAGCAAAACTTTTATTCGAATAGAATTATGAAAAGCTTGTACACATTGCACATTGCACACACATAGTGTGTTATAAATATAAGAAACCTCAGCTGTTTTTTTTCTTTGGAGATTTGATATTCTTATAATTGAAAAGGTCTTTCAAATGTAGTTTTATATTGTAGCGTTAAAATCTCGAATCGATACTTGTAATGGTGGATAACACGGATAACAAAATTTGCGCGATCCTGGCTGATTACTCGAAGCAT